TTCAAAAAACTTCGAAGCCATGCTTCAAAAGGAAAGGAGACAAATTCAGTTTAAAAGAAGCAGAATAGCACATAACAGGCATCTATTAAAGACGCCAAAAATATCCACTGCTCGAAGCAGATTCAGTTTGAAAAGAAAAAAGACTAAGGAAAGGAGACAATTGAGCGGTTCTTCTCAAACATCAGCACCCTTGTTGCCGTCTTGGGTCTTGGCGCTCTCCGGCACAACCACATCGTCGGCGGTCTCCATCTGGTCGACAACCGCGCTGGCCGCAGGATCAGTGGATGCTTTCGGTGATGGCACGTACTCGGAGTTGATGTCATCATCACTCCAGAACTCAACCGCGTCCCATATCGCGTTGGTATCCCACATTACCTCGAGATACTCACGACGAAACCAATGACGGATGGCGGACACAGTATCTCGGAGAAGCTTCTTATACTTCTTGTCATCCGCCTCCTGATACTCATCTGACGACCAGAACGCCTCTCTCGCTTCTTGGGCGGCTCGCAGCAAGTCTGCCTCTCGAGCGTCCTGCAACTCGGATTTCTCAATCCGAAGTTTGGCCAACTCAGCCTGCAAGACGCTCTCTCGGGCAAGAGAATCGTTAAGCTCAGACCGTAGGCGCTCAGCATCCTCTGAAGCTTTCCTGGCCTTCTCCTTCTCCGCCTCAATCTGGGCATCCTTACCCTGCATCAGCTTCTCCTGCTCTTTCATAACTTCCTCACGGACCTCCGCCTTCACCCCTTCGCGCCCCTCCTTGACCTGATCCTCCAGCTGAATTATCTTGGTTTGAGCATCGTCAATGTCACTCTGGAGGAGGTCGTTATGCAACATCATTTGGTTCAAACCAAACTGAGTCTGCAAGAAGACAAGGTACAAAATAAGAGCGATGAAATGAAAAGGAAATAAAACAGACGAAAGGCGCATACCGCGAAGAAGCAGCGCGAACTAGCGGCCGCCAAGTGTTTCGTGTCGGAGGTCAGAACGGGAGTGCCCGCGACATGGGTATAGTCGCCGGGAACCGCCAAACCTTCCGCAATCACATGCATGGCGCGTTTGGCAGCAGCAACATAGAGGGAAGCATGGGAGGAGAAGGAGACAGAGGTATCGATGGCCGTCCTTTTCTGCTTCTTGGGTGCAAGATAGGCGTCAAGAGGAGTGGCCGGCTTCTCAATCGCAACCCCTTTCTGCTTAGGCTCCCCGGCGGTCAGTAGCAGATCCCGAGTGGTGGTGATGTCCAGCGACCGCTTGGATGAGCTCCTGGTGGTGGTGGGCTCCGATAGCTTGAGGACCCCGGAGCGACTAGCCACCAGTTGTTTTTGCGATGGCGAAGGGGGCAGAGTAGAGGCCGTAACAGGGCGGTCGGCTACAGGGACGCTGGAAGTAGTTGGGACAGCGTTCCCGGGCTTTGGCGGCCGAGCAGAGGACGCGTACCGCCGGGTACCTGCGGATTAAGACGTGAATAAGTAAGGCACGTGAGAGAAGGTGGGCAACATTAAAAGGAAATAACTAACCATGAAAACGCCGAATAATATCCAGAGCATTATCATCGCCCTTTGGAGGAAGGGAAACTTGAAGGGCGGTCGTGAGCCGCTTCACTATTGGCTTGAAAGCCTCCAAGTCTTCGGTGTTGTTATTCCAATCTTTCTTATCTCCAAATGAAAAGCCGGTTGGCGGTTCAACTTCCCCAGAATACCAGTTCCCAGTGGGTCGAGCGAAGAAGTACTCGTTGAACCAAGGGGAATCAAGCTTAGGCGCCCCACTAACTATGCCGACCCGCGATTCCCGGCGGTAGCAAGACCAGCAATTGTCAGACCCCCTCATCTTATACAACTGACGGAACGCGTCAAAGGAGGGCGTCTCACCTATTTTCTCACAGGCGGCTCGAAAAATGACAGAATGAAAAATGATGCCTGGCGATAACCGCCCCAGTGTACAGTTCAGGTAGAGAAGCGTACGAGTGAGAATGGGATCAACGGGAAACCTCAGACCCATTCGAAGATGCTCCACATGGATGGGGATCCAACCATCCGGGCAAGAGCCTGATCGCCCAGCAGAAGTCGGGGCCGCATAATCCCATTCGGCCGGTAAATGATGCGTCTTTAGTTGCCTAAGGACCTGATGAGGCTTGTAAGCAGCCTTGTTAGGCGGTCCTTGTTGATAAGCGCCCTCGGGGACGGCTTTTCCCTCCCACATGTCTTCGTGTAAGCGGACACGGTAGGTTTTGTCGTGAACCGCTTGAAAAGCTCCGACGGGCAGAGCATCGGAAACCGTCAAAGACGGAGACAACAACTCCTCCTCGCCCTCGGGGCGGTACTCGGGTTCACTACCAGAGGATAATGCGACGAGGGGGACGTCGCGAGGCGGTTCGCTCTCCGCCTCCGAGAAGTAGAAGTCCCCAAGGTTAGACTTTTTCCAAACCATATAACATAACTTATTTTTTATCGTGTGTTTACTAAACATAATAAAAGAGATAAGATTGTTGATGCCTGGTTATTAGCATTGTTATATTTGTTTCTTTAATTTCTTCATTTTCAGCTTTACAAGAGGAAAAATAATTCAATTTCATCAATTAACATGTTTGTACTAGCAAGACAGTAATGCTAAATTAATTAAATAATCCACATTTTTTTTTATATACGATAACCGGGATAATTACGTACAAGCCACCAATAGTAGAAAGAAAAATAACTAAATTAATTATAAATAGTTTGTACCATGCTTAACTTTAGTTTAAAAAAATTATCAGTTTCTCCTATCTAATTTAGTTTACTTATTTTTTATCCTATTGATTTGTTCTAAAATTATTTTCATCTTGTACTTAATTAAGTTCTCATTACCTATTCAGACGAGTCTAGCTAATTCATTGTCATTTACTATTTGGATTTTTTATTTGATCTCTCAAATAATCAAAAAAATTTATTATATCTTACTATTTAAATCATTGTCACTCTTTATTTCAAATCATAATAGACAGTATTATTTTAGATAATGTTATGATTTTTTATTTATTGAATGATGTTTTATTTATATTTTATTATATATTTAAAAAATATTTTGGTACACATTTTGTTTTCCGAACACGGCCTCCAAAATCTTAGGGTCGGCCCTGCATGGAGACTATCTTCAATTGGTTATTGGAGAGGCTGAAACCAAAATACAGAGTTACATGGAAAAAGGGGAAGAGACAATTACTCAGATCGAAAGTGATGAGTACTACTCGGCCATTAAAATACCCAAAAACATATGAGAATCATATTTAGCTTGCGATCGAGATGGATTTATTAGTCCGTACTTACATCATAGAAAAATTAAAATGGTATTTCAAAAATCATTTCACCCCTTTGATCATTTATGTCACCGTATGTCTAAGTGGTAATATACTAACGGATTAATTCTCTAAATACAGATAAAACTAAAACAAATTCCTAAACTACCACACTTTTAAAAAAAATTCTCAAAATACCTAAGTTTGGAGTGGTTCGAGTTTGAGGAACTCGAACTACTAACCGGTTCGAGTGTAGGAGACTCGATCTAGTCGTAGATCGATGATATAAGCCTCGAACCATGTGGAGCTGAAGTGGTTCGAGTTCAGTAAACTCGAACCACTCCTTTGAAATTTCCAACCACCTTAACTTTGTGCTCGTTTATCCGATCGTAGCAAACTTTTTTTTCATTTCGCATAACTTTTCGAGGACTACAACTTTTATAATAGAAATATTTTCAGAATATATGTGAAAATGTGAAAAATAAAGTTAAATGTAGTCCCAAACCATCTTATATTAAAAATTATTCCTATTTTGAAAATTTATTCCTAGTAAATGTTGTAGTACTCAGAAAATTATGCAAAACAAAAAAAAAAACTTTGCGACGTTCGGATTGCGGAGCACAAAGTTATGATCCTCCAAAGTTTGACAAATTCGAAAATTTGCTCGTTTATGGGTAGCAAATGACGTTTTCTAGGAAGATAGCCATCCAAAAATTTCTCGTTTGGAAAAATATTGCTCTTTTGGCAGAAATTCCCTATATATAAAAAAATTTCCCGTGCCTTCGCCCCGAGAAAATGTCATTTGTTACCCCTAAACGAGCAATTTTTCGATTTTGCCAAACTTTAGAGGATCATAACTTTGTGCTCCGCAATCCGAATGTCGCAAAGTTTTTTTTTATTTTGCATAATTTTTTGAGTACTACAACATTTACTAGGAATAAATTTTCAAAATAGGAATAATTTTTAATATAAGGTGGTTTGGGACTACATTTAACTTTATTTTTCACATTTTCACATATATTCTGAAAATATTTCTATTATAAAAGTTGTAGTCCTCGAAAAGTTATGCGAAATGAAAAAAAAGTTTGCTACGATCGGATAACCGAGCACAAAGTTAAGGTGGTTGGAAATTTCAAAGGAGTGGTTCGAGTTCAGCTCCACATGGTTCGAGGCTTATATCATCGATCTACGACTAGATCGAGTCTCCTACACTCGAACCGGTTAGTAGTTCGAGTTCCTCAAACTCGAACCACTCCAAACTTAGGTATTTTGGAAATTTTTTTTAAAAGTGTGGTAGTTTAGGAATTTGTTTTAGTTTTATCTGTATTTAGGGAATTAATCCTATACTAACCAATCAATCATGAGCTAACCAGATGATTGTTCAAATAAAAATTGAGAAACCAACCAACAAACCAACCTTTACAACATTGACGATTTCTAAAAACTGTCAAACGAATCTCAAACGTGTACTTAATTATATCTAAGAGTTAACAAAAATGTTACGACCGTCTTTTGTTGTATCTCAGCTGGACTCTTTCCCGATAGCATCTACAGTAGGCAGACGAAGGAGCATCAAAGATCCCTCCCTTTGTCTTTTTTCTGCCTCCACACCCTTTATCTTGGCCACAAACCTCCCAACAATAGGGCTCATCATTATCCCCACACAACAACAACAACAACAAACACGTGTCAAAAGTCAACCATGGTTCTCAACTTCCTATTATCCCGCATGCTCCATTCTTTCCGCGCATGCTACACCGCCGGCGCCGCCGCCACGTCAAAAGGAGACAGCATCAGCGCCAACTACTTCCTCGTAACAGCCATCCCTCTGCTGCTGTCGACGGGGCTCCTCCTTTCCCGCTTCCTCAGAAGAAAGCAGCGGGCCCCACTGCCTCCCGGTCCGACCGGGCTGCCGCTGGTCGGTTACCTCCCTTTCCTCGGGACCCACCTCCACCGCGAGTTCACCGCTCTCGCCGCCACCTACGGCCCCATCTACTCGCTCCGGCTGGGCAGGAAGCTTTGCATGGTGGTCAGCTCCTCCTCCCTGGTCAAAGAGATCGTCAGGGACCAGGACGCCATCTTTGCCAACCGCGACCCGCCCATCTCCGCCGTGGTGCTGACCTACGGCGGCGATGACGTGGCATTCTCGAACTACGGCCCACTCTGGAAGAAGCTCCGCAAGGTTTATTTTTATAGACGACCTTTTTTTTTTGTCCTGATTTTCTATCGAAAGTCTTAACTAATTTATCAAACGAAAATCTAACGAACTTGAAATGTGTACACGATCGTCATATTTAAGTTTAGTGAAAGATAAGAATGTAACATTTATTGTCACATCCTAATTTTCGGTCGAAACGTTTTAACTGATTTTCAAACGAAAATTTAACCGTCCTTTAATTTGAATCTTATAATACTCACGTACGAACAATTTGTTATTTTTTTTTGTTCATCAGGTGTTTGTGAGGGAGATGTTGGGTGGGGCGAATCTGGAGGAGTGCTACGGACTAAGGAAGCAGCAGGTGAGAAGCTCCGTCAAAGAGGTGCACAAGAGATGTTCCGGCGGGGAAGCGATGGATTTCGGCGAAATGGCGTTCAAAACGACGACGAACGCCATGCTGAGCATGTTGTGGGGAGGAGTGGCCGGGGACGACGAGGGCTTCTACGGCGAGTTCAGGGAGCTGGAGTCGGAGATGTTGGTGTTGATGGGTACGCCGAACGTGTCGGACTTTATTCCGGCGCTGGCCAGGTTTGACTTGCAGGGGATCGAGAAGAAGTCCAAGAGGTTGCTCGACAAGTTCGATGAGATTCTGAGCTCGGTGATCGAGGAGCGGTTGAGGGCGGTTGAGAAGCGGGGAGGCAACGGGAGGAAGGATTTCTTGCAGGTGTTGTTGGATTTGAATCGCCACGGTGGCAGCGACGGTGAAAGCTATGTTACTACCAATCAAGTCAAAGCTCTGCTTATGGTAAGGTTTTTGAGCGTTGAATTTTATATCACTCTTTTACGTGGGTTTTTACACCGTAAGTTAATTAGGTTATGCAGAAGCTGAACTAGTTTAAACACTTCAAAAGATTATAGTCATTAGTATCATAGTATGATTGAATTGGTTCGCTCGATTGATGAGATAATTGATTCCTTATGAATAAATAAACAACAGCAGTGGTATGGTAACGTGCATGCATAAAGCGAACCGTCATGCAACTTGCATTTATATAGACTATAATAATAATGACATGATTAGTTGTTTTTATATTGTTTTAATGCTTTCTCAGTTATCATAATGACCTTACTGATTAAACAAATTATAGGGGTTCGCTAATACTTAATAAGTATTAAGTACAATTAGAGAAGCGGGCAAGGATGAGAACATATATGGGTTAGCTTAGAAAAATTGTATCAATTGATGTGTCCGTTTCTTCCGAATATGGGACCATATATACCTACCTAACACTATCTTCAATCGTAGCGTTTTTGTTGTTTGACCTAAGAAATCTCTTCTTAAACTGATGAATAATTTTTAACGGTATAAAGCGATTCAATTATGGTTTCAACACAAAATATCATATTATTGAGTTTTTCAATACAACTTACCGTATAATTTTACAATCCTCGATAAAATCACAACATAGTTAATTGATTGGCTGACTTTATTCCAACAGGACATTTTGGTGGGTGGCACAGACACAACGTCGACCATGCTGGAGTGGACGATGGCACAACTGGTCAAACATCCAGACGCAATGTCCAAAGTCTACAAAGAACTCAACGAAATCGTCGGTCAAAACGACATCGTCGAGGAATCTCATCTCCCCAACCTAACCTACCTAGAAGCCGTCATCAAGGAGACGTTTCGAATCCACCCAGCTCTGCCTTTGCTAGTGCCACGCTGCCCCAGCAAAACGTGCGAGCTGGGTGGGTACACCATCCCCAAGGGCACAATCGTCTATCTCAACGCCTACGCCCTCCACACTGACCCACAACTCTGGGAAGACCCTCTGGAGTTCAAACCGGACAGGTTCCTCAGCGTGGAGGACGACACGAAGTTCGATTTCCAAGGGAACAACTTCCAGTTCCTTCCGTTCGGATCTGGAAGGAGGGTGTGTCCTGGCCAGCCTCTGGCGGTCAACACGTTGAAATACGTGTTGGCTACGTTATTGCATTCGTTCGATTGGAAGTTGCCGGCGGGGACGGAGCTGGAGTTGGAGGACAAGTTTGGGATTGTGATCAAGAAGATGAACCCTTTGGTCCTTGTTCCTACTCCCAGGCTGTCGAGTTTGGAGCTGTACTAGAACATGGAGAAAAAAAAAGGGTGAGGTGGATGCATAAATTTGTCTTGTTTCGAGTTTTCTGGTGTCTTTGTGTTGTGTGATAATGTTGTTTAATAAGCTAATTGTGGTTGATTAGTTTGGGTTTGGATTTGATAATGGCATTTTGTTGGCCTTTTGTTGGGGGTCTTTTGTTTATGACGGTGGTCGGTTGTTGTCCGATTGTGGTTCCTTCTTCTTGTTATTATACTTTGTCTCTCCCTTCTAGGACATGAAAATAGTCCACTCTTGTCTCTGTTATTAGTTTATCTTGGTGAACTAGTAGTTTGACGCCTTGGATAAGTAATGAGGAAGAGAATGAGTGGGTTTTCATGGATTGGAATGTAGCGGTGGCGTGGCGACTGTTGAAGTGTAAATTTTTTTTAGTTTATAATTGACACGTCGATAACTTAACGGTTAAATATGATTTTGATTGTTATTTAGAACAAATTAAAAAAAACAAACAACAAATAACCAACAATGAAATATTAATTTAAAGTTAGTGATTGTCTGACTGATAAGGGAAAAAATTTCAAGTGTAAACATAAAATTTATTAATAAATCGAGTGACCAAACGTGTGATCATTGGCGGACCCAGGATTGTTGAAGAGGGGAGTCGCCTAATGAACGATTATTGGCTATAATTATTAAAGCGGTGACGAAAATCTCGTATTAAAATTTTTTGTACCAAAAAAATACAGGTTTTTCACAAAAAAATTTGGACAAAAGGTAGGGTTATCTCCACATACTCGAAAAATGTATCCACCCCGATAAATCTCTCAATCACATACTCGAAGAATGTATCCGCCCTATGTACGTGTGATTGAGAGATTTAACCCTCGTGTGATTGAGAGATTTATCGGGGTGGATACATTGTCGAGAGTATGTGGAGATAACCCTATTGTACTTATGATGTGTACTGCGAGAGAATCAATTACCCGTAGGGATCGGGGGAAGAAGGCATTTATAGGGTTCGGTTAGTGTTTGGTTTGGGCTTAAGCAAGGAGAAGGCAAGGATAGGGCTAGAGTCCAAGAGAGGGTCCTTAAACCTAGCTTGGCAGACTTTGGCCCTGAACTAAAGATGGATCTCATACGTGGGTCCAAATAAGGCTATTCCCCTCCCCATCCGAGATCCACGAGTCGAATTGCTTTTATTTGATGGCCAAACCTTTACTTGTTGGATTTGATAGTGCCCAGTATTTTTCAATCTTGTCTATTCAAAGTTTCTTTCTATCCAAGTGTGAATGAAGGTTTTGCATTTTGAAAATGATAGATTTGTTTGTATTATGTATTAGAAAGAGTTTATTGTTTGTTTATTTTACTTTTATCATAGATTTTGAAAGTTTTTTACAATGAATTTTAAATTATTACGTTCCATAAAATATTTACAAATATGTAAGATTCATAAATTTAAATCTAAAAAAAAATTGTGGGGCCCTACGATTTTGTATTACTCAGCAAACAGTGTACTTGTATCAAATACATGATAATGATAATGATGGATTTGAAAACCCATCACCCAAATCCTAGGATAAAACTTTACAATAATAATTTTGTTACAGCTTGCAAGTGCAGGGGCCATTTTCACTAGGGGTGAAAAATGGGACGAGATTGGGTACTTGTCCCGTTTGAAACGGGTACCCAATCCCATTTGCAGATCAAAGTTTATCCCATATCCCAAACTCGTACGGGTAACGGGTTGCATTCATTTTTTTGCCTAAGATGTTGCATTCATTTTTTTTTGCTTATATTTGGATGAATCATAACCGTCGATTATTGTTTCTAATTAATTGATTTTGGGGTATAAGATTTAGAGAATTAAGACCTAGATTTTGATCTTTAATGGTTAGAGTATAGTATCATGTCCGAAAGATCAGTCAATTCAAGGTCTGGATAGTGTTTTCATACTTAAAGTATGCGGTACCCCGGATTTTACCCTGGGTACCTTAGAACTCGCCACACACACACACACACACACACATATATATATATATATATATATATATATATATATATGTGGGGTTAGACTGGCGTACGTCAGTCGTATACTATATGTCAGGTAGTACAAGTGAGATATCTCTATCCAGACCGTGAATTAAATCGAGTTTGGGGTATGATACTATACCCTAACCTCTAATGGATAAATCCTAGGCACTGATTTTCTAAACCCTAACCCAAAGTTTGATTTAATGAAAAACAAAAATTGACCGTTGAGATCGGCCGGAGCTCATCTAACTACATCTAAAGGCTAGATCACTTGACGTATACTATACGTCTGACGTACACCAGTCATCACCATATATATATATATATACGAGTAGTATCCATATATATATATATATATATATATATATATATATATATATATATATATATATATATATATATATGCTTGGACTACTACTCGGGATTTTGGCCAGTGATCCACACCTTTTTTGTAAAAATGTTTTGAGAACGTTTTTCATGTGCATACTAGCTTCTGATGTAGTGTGAGATATCCACAGGTGTGGAAAGTTGATGATATGTGTATATGTTGTGTAACTGTGTAAGTTGTGACGACTAATATATATATATATATATATATATATATATGATAAGAAAACACTTTGATAAATGAAGTACCATTATGTGAATCAATATCATGGTAACAATTAAAGTAAAAAAATTATTGTCAGTAGAATATATATTAAGTATATAAGACTTCGATACATAATTTATCATCACATGCATATCGGTTTGAATATTCTCAGATTGTAATTAACCACTCAAATTGTCACCCAATTACAAAGTTTAGAATTTCCAAAATTGAAACTCACATCCACTTATATAATTGAATATTTTAGAATATTACGAGTGGGTCGATTTCCGGTTTATTTGGTTTCCCCTGACCCAATTTCAGGTATGAAACGATTGGTAGGCATACCGCATACGTTTCGAATTTCCATTAATGTAGAGGCAATCACAATTCACAAGGTAAGGCCCCTATCAGAAACAGTAAAGGAAAGGAGAAAAAACATATCTTAAATTATTAAAGAAACATACCAAACACAACCGTACCACTACCACATCCACATGATGATATGACCCACACAGTCCACTCGATGAGCGAAAACTAATGTGTGAGCTGCCGCCCGCTAGAGGTAGGTTTCGATACATAACTACTAAGTACTAACCTTAGAAGATAATAAGTTAATTACGCCAAGTTTCCTACACTAAGGTCTAAGGTACGGAGTGCCATCAAAATCATGTCGACTATAATCACTAGAAAAGACACATCGTGAAACCTATCATAATTTCGAGTTTATTTTCAGCTAACCGATAAAGATGTTTTATTTAGAAAACGTGGTTGCAAAATGCGTTTAATTTTCAAACAAAATAACCGTGACGTATGTAATACAATAGTGTATAAGGTTTATATAATTTGCCCCCTTTTCACAACTTAGACTTATTGAAACACATTGGTTTTTTTTTATATAATATCAAAGTCCTTAGGACCAATACAGTTAAAGTCTAGCTTTTATGTAAAAGCTAAATGATAGGTGAAAGTGGAAGCAGAAAAAAGTTACCTTTTAAACATTCTATAAAATTGATAGAAATTTTCTAAACATAATTTTTATTTTGAAAAATATAAACAAATGAGTGAACTAGCTCAAATGTTAAAGATCACTCTCACACACACGTAAACTAAATTAGTAGGCTTGCAAGGTTGTCAACCCGCGGGTTGACCCGGACCCGGTCGAGCTAGTGGGTTAAGGGTTAATGGGTCAACCGTTTTAGCCCGGTTTGGCCCGGAAATATTAAGAAAGTCATTATATTATACTTATCCTCATAAATTATATCAAATCTTATCTAACATATGAGTTATAACATATAATATTACACCAAAATAACATATCGTACTTAGATCCAACATATAATGAAAATTCACACACACTTATATAACATAAATATTCAAATGTTCAACTTAGGATTCCAAAGATTGAGTTGGGCGAAAAGAAAAATCGGAAAATTGGCACATTTCGCAAATCAAAGGAAAAAGTGACACAATTTGACCTCCAACCCGGTACCTTATAGCGGTCGGCCCGGCGGGTGCGTGTGGCCCGTTTTTCTCATCGGGTCAGGGTCAAACTGGGTCGACCCAGGGGTCAACCCGCGGATTGACAACCTTGTAGGCTTGTAAACAAACATTTCCTCTCTGCTTCGAAAAAAATCATAATTTTAGGACAACATTTAATGTTGCCGAATATATATAAACCACCACACACACTTCCCTCCCAACGCCAATCAAACTCAAACCCCATCAAAGAAGTCAATAAATTCTCCCACCATGCTTCTTCCCCTTATTATTCTACTCGCCTCCTGCATCCTAATCCCTTTAACAATCCGCTGCCTCTCCGGCAACCTCAGAGCCGAAAAGACACCGGCAAACGCACCCGACAGCGGCCGGCTGTTGCCGCCCGGGCCACGTGGGCTTCCCATACTGGGCTACCTCCCCTTCATCGGGCCCAATCTCCACCAAGACTTCATGAACCTGGCCCTACACTACGGCCCAATCTTCAAGCTCTCCCTCGGCCGGAAGCTCTGCGTCATCGTCAGCTCCCCTGCCCTCGCCAAACAAATCGTCCGCGACCATGACGTCACGTTCGCCAACCGGAACCCCAACGTCGCCGCCGGGGTGTTCTCCTACGGCGGCAGGGACATCGCCTTCTCGCCGTACGGCGCCGAGTGGCGGCTGCTGCGGAAGATATTCGTCCACAAAATGCAGAGCAAGCAGAGCATGGATTCTTTCTACCCGCTCCGGAGGAAGGAGGTGAGGAAAATGGTGGCGGAATTGTACAACGGCGGCGGCGGCGGAGGCGGTGAGGTGGACGTGGGAAGGGTGGCGTTTACGACGGTGATCGGGATGATATCGGGGATGTTCTGGGGTGGGACCCTTGGGAACGGAGATGGTGATGATGACGTGGCGAAGGTGGTCGGCGGCGAGTTTCGGTCGACGGCTTCGAAGCTTGTGGAGGTGCTGGGCAGGCCTAATGTGTCGGATTTCTTCCCGATTCTCGCCAGGTTCTTAATTTTCCCCTACAACTAGTTTTCTTGTTACTTTATTTAAAAAGAAAACATCAAAGGCTAGCAAGGAAGGGAAGATATCCAGGCTAGCGTATCTCAGACGTACACTATATATTTGTGTTCAAATTTTTGAAAGGTGGACGAGTTTTACTATTTAGATCATGAATTTATCGAATTTTGAAGCATGATACTATACCTTAATTTTTAATGGACAAATCCCAATCTCTAATTATGTAACTCGAACTATAAAAAAATTTGATTTTAAAAAATACTGACAAGTATGAATGCAAACGTGTAGTGTATGTCAGGCATACGCTAGTCGCTAGCATTTGTTATTTGTATATATAATTAAAATGTAAAATTTATAATTAAAATTTAAAAATAGATTGATAAATAAAACAACGATCTTCTGGAAGTAGAAGACTAATTACGATACCATAAAAAATGAGATATCAATTGAGAGTAGATATAATCAATCCTCTTCGCGAGTCAAGTCAGATGATCAGATACACGACTTGTCACTTTTACCCACTTGCGGAGCCAGGTGATTGGTTGTGAAAATGAATGCACATTAAAAATGGTGAATATTCAAATTGGAACTAACAAATTTTGAAATATACACCCTTTTTTTCTCAAAATCTCAAGACAATAACTTTATCATCGAAACACACAATTGTAATTTATTATTTTCGGACCCTACTAAATTATATTCCCGACTAACCTACTAATAACTAGAGCATCAAACCTTCTTACCAAATTACAATCACTAATACAACTCCGGTATATAGGTGTCCCTTTCATAAAATTGATTGCATATCGTGATATTGAACCCCAATTATTTATTGTGTTATCCCCACACTCTCTTTTGTTGGGCCAGGTTTGATTTACAAGGAGTGAAGAAGGAAATGAAGAGAGTGTCGGGTGGGATGGAGAAGATATTCGATTTCGTGATTGATCGGTGCATTGATGATATGATGAACAAGCCAAGATCAGACGATGATCATAATGGTCAGCAAGATTTCCTGCACTCCCTGTTGGAGTTCAAGGACCAAGATACTGGAAATTCCATCACAAGACAGCAGATTAAGGCAATGCTCATGGTAATTATTTTCAAATCCCTCCATTTTCCTTTTTTTATTGCTTCAATTTGGAATGAGTACTGTCTGAAAGAAACATGTCTATATCAAGTCGTGGCAAAATTATGTCATTCTGCCTTAGCTTTGACTTTTCCAATCTTCATTCAACAATACCAAACAAATACAAAGATGATGCCTTAGAACGAACTGATAACACCATAGAATTCCCATAAATTAATTAAGTATACTTTCCACTTGAGACTCTTTAAGGATGTCTGACTTTGGATTTTTGTTTTATAATGTTATGTTAGCCAAGCCCGACTTGACTATGTAGAAGTCGTTATCAAGGATTATAATCCGCTCAACATTAAAATATATGTAAAATTTGCATCAAATTTAAGAAATACAGTTGACAATAAGCTTTTACTCTCCTCTTTTCAATTACCATGATTCAAATTAACTCTCATTTAAATTCCTGATTCCGCCACTGTCTTTTAGCTGATTCTAGAAACTCGATTGAAAGTTGAAACACATATTGTTAGTTACATACATATATGCCAATAGCTAGCTTTCGTTGTGACAGTGCGTTAACTCTCAACTGTTAACAGGACATCGTCATCGGAGGAACCGACACAAGCTCGACCACGATCGAGTGGGCAATGTCCGAACTGATACAACATCCCGAAGTCAAGAAAATCGCCCAACAAGAGTTGACACGAGTGATTGGTCCCGACAGCGTTATGGAAGAATCTCACATCCCCAATTTGCCATTTCTCCATGCCATCGTGAAGGAGACACTGCGATTGCACCCGGTGGCGCCTCTGCTCCTCCCTCGTTGCCCAACCAAAGGCTGCCACGTCGGCGGCCACTTCATTCCCGAGGGGACCAAGGTTTTCCTCAACGTGTGGGCGATGCACAGGGACCCTGAATTCTGGGAGGATCCGACGTCGTTCCACCCGGAGAGGTTTCTGAATGAGAATGATGAACAGTCCACGAGGAGCTTAGATTACTTGGGTGGGAGCTTCCATTATCTTCCGTTTGGGTCGGGGAGAAGAATCTGTGCCGGTTTGCCGCTCGGCGAGCGGATGGTTATGTATGTTTTGGCGACGCTTTTGCATATGTTTGATTGGGAACTTCCTGAAGGTGTTGTGGCAGACACGAAGGAGAAGTTTGGGGTTGTGTTGGAGAAGGTGAATCCTTTGGTTTTGGTATCGAGTCCTAGATTGCCCAATTTGAGTCTTTACAAGTAGAAAACGGCTGGTTAATAGTACCGCATGGAGTCATAATATTATTACTTCATACTAATTGTATTCAAGCCATAAATCTGAACAATTAAGTCTAATGGGGCTTGATGAGTTGTGATAATCGAGAGAGAGGGGATGGGGAGCCTTACCAATTAGCTAGCTAGTCTATACCTCAAATTTGTAACAAGTTATACCTGTATTATAATGTATACACAAAACTAAGTTTTTTTACGATATAAGTTTAACGATAGCGACTTATAGGGTGAATTTTTATAGCGTTGGTGTGATGATATCGAGAATCAAAATCCAATCTTGGTGGATCCTTCCTCAAGTCGTTTCTCTTGCCACCCAGTATGCTTGAGTATTAGCGAGGGATGAAGGATACCTCGATGTAGTCGGATTGAGAAAGGATATACATTCATGGAGGGGACCTATGCACTACATTCTCAAGGCCAATTGGATGAATGATCCTTTACAACCTTAACCAGGTTCATGTAGTAAGCGAGGACCAACATATGTAGCCCTGAAGTTTTAACAAGATTTAATGCCGCCAGAAGAGCTTTAGCCTTTGCCACGAATCAATTGTTGAAGTGCATAGTGGCGTATCAGTCTTTGCCGTCATGTACATGTCCATAGTTATTAGTAACAACTACCCCATCAGCCACCAGAAGATTAGAATTTCTAAATGATTCATCACAAAAAAATTCAACTGAAAATCACCAGACAAGCTGGTATAGGATGAACACGGAGACGGTAATGAATTATACTGCACTCAATGAAATCTCTATGGACATGTAAAGTTGAGGATGGATATTGGCATGGCCTCAACAGGGCTCCCCCACTACATATAAAACCTGCCTAGAACCTAATTGTTAGAAACCTAAATTTTTAACCTTAGAATATATTACCTGAGTCGAATACTGGTTTTGATGACTTTCCAACCAAAAAATTAGAAGGAAATGGAAGTTGTTTTCTTAACAATATAAATTATCTCTTTCATTCATTCAAGTCAAATGAGTTACATGTTTATAAATACACTAAAGGGTCGTTTGGATTAGGAATTTGAACGAGGAATTTCAATACGATCCCTCATGATGCAGGATTTTAAAAGAATTATGCGTTTGGATAGACCTCTGAAAATGAGGGATTTTAATCATGCAGGAATTCAAAATACCTGCATATGCTGAAATTCAAAATACCTGTCCGGCTGTCCTCGCCCAGCTATTTCCAAATTCTGGCCTCTTTTTCTTCCTCTTCCAGTTCTGTCCCCACTCTCCAGTCCTCACACGTCACTTCTTTCTCCTAAAAAAACACCTTTTTCCCATTTCTCTCATACTGCCACTCACGTCACTTCTCCTCAAAAAGACCCCTTCTACCGTTCGCTCTCTCTCTCTCTCTCATACCCCATCGCCACCAGCAGACCCGGAAAGGAGAAGTGAGGCGGTGGACATTATCGAAGCAGTAGCAAGTGAGAAGACGTTGCGACGGTCGAGCGAAGGAGGTCTGAAGGATTTACCGCCATCGAAGTGTCGAACGACGCAACGGCGGTCGATCGATTTTCAGATCTTCTCGCCGGCGACTCCTCGACTGGTATCAACGAGTCGGTTTTGTTTTGTGGGTCTGCATCCAGAGTCGCAATGTCTTAATCTCTTATCTTATACTGCATATCTGGAGTTTTGACGGCGTTATATTGCATATCGATTTTATGCTGCCAACTCTGTATGTTGGAGCATTGATGTTCTGTATTGCGGGTTGCCGTCGCGTAGCTTTGTTTTTGGATCGGGAGTTATCGTCTCGAAGATTGAGAGTCACCGTTGAGAGCTGCCATCGTTAGACCAGGAGCCGTCGACGCCGCAGAGCTCTATTTTCCTATTAGGGGCCAGAAATCCATTGTTATAAACGCGCTGCTACGAATCGGGAAATCGCCGGAATCGATAAAGCGAGAATACGAAAGCGAGAATCGAAAAACACGACACACGATTTACGTGGTTCACTAACACGATGTGTGTTAGCTACGTCCACGAGCGAGAGAGAGCCAGTTTCACTATATCGAGGAGATTACAGATTACAGAGAAGTATGAGAAGTATTTAGTGGGTCTAAACGTAATCCAATCTGGCAAAGGAAGCAGTTACAGACCAGGCCCAAAACCCGAATCCAAATAACATTGAGCCCATACACCGTGGGTAGCTGCTACCAGTCGTAGAGGCTGATATTTCGATTCAAGTCACATCAACATCCATCGTCTTCCACTATCATTTTCAGTTCTACCACTTCACAGAGAAGCAATAAATCCTCGATTTGTCGCCCATTGGCTTCGGTTCAAAACGGAAGAAAGAAGACGATAAAGAGGGCAAAGTAGTCATTCTAATTTTGTCATTAAAATTAAATTCTTCAATGCACAATTGCTAACTCTTCAACAAACAAGTGATTTGTTGCAATTCCCTTATATTAATTTTCTGATTTTTTAAATGAGCTATTTGTGTATAAATCCCTGATTTAATAAAACCATTATCCAAACCAATGCAGTCAAAATCGCGCTTTAAAACTTAAAAACTTACGATTTTACGCTTCTATGTCACCAAAACGCTTTCGTTTCCATATAAAATCTTAAGTGTATAAAATTGGGACTAAAATGCGCTTTAAAGCTTAAAAGCTTACGCTTTTACGCTTCTAGTTCACCAAAACGCTTTACGCTTTTAAACTTCTAGTTCACTAAAGTAGTATTCTATTCATGAAAATACTTATATTTTAAAGGTAAATCACAAAAAACATGATATTTGAGATTAAAAGATACATATCAGGTACTTGGGTGCATTCTTAGCTTCAATAGAGTAATCTAATTCACCAACTAGGCCCTTCCCGAATTCACTAGCATAGAGGGGAAGGTAGCTTATTGTTAAGATATATGTTTATGAACTTTATGAGTTTCTCAACTTTAGACATGAATTACATGTATTAACTTATCTAAACTATGTGCACTCATATTTTACATAGTATATGTCGTACTTAACACATTTTTTGTTATTTTATAGTATGCGTAAAAAACTTACGTTTTTACGCTTTGATTCTACGCTTTACGATTTTACCCATTTTCCGCTTCTAGGTAGAATCGCGCTTTTGACTGCATTGATCCAAACGACCCCTAAAAACTGTGAAGATTAAAAATCCAACCATGGTGAAAGGACGTCTGTTGTTGTGTCGTTGTTCTTGGATGAAAGCATTAAAGCAAGAGGAAGAAAGTGACAGGATTGTGAAATTTCTATCCATCCTAAAAAGACATGTCGAGCAAAATTCCAAGCCATATATAGCTTTTGGTCCAGTCGTTATTTAGCTATTGAATTTCCTGCAGGGTGGGTGTGCTTCTCTTTGAGGTCGGACTTCAAAATTCAGTTGATCTGGGCCTATTTTAGGGCCACAGCCCACAAGACAGATCCTGGTTTGGGTCTCTCCTTGGACTAAGCCGTGCTTCCACCTTAGGCCTCCGGATTATAGTAGGATGTTTTAAGGTCTTTTGACCTACTATGTTGCCCATAGAATATCACGTAAACTCGTCGGAATTTCTGGGTGTAAGGGAGATATGGTTTTTTGTATGTTTGTCCATATTGTATGGGTTCTTTCTTCTCATCTCTCATAAATGAAAATTTAACAAGAACGACAATACTCTTTAATCAGGCACGATATTACACAATTATTAATCTATACACTTGTGTACCAAACTAATGATCACACCTAGATATAGAGTGGCTTATTGAGAACTCTGTGTTGATACACAGAGAACATTTTCAGCCTGATTCTGCCGCTTTTGCATCCTGAAAAACCCGAAAACAACACTCCCTAGAGCTAATCAACTAGACATTAATTCCAGCTCTTCACAACACAACTGATTATTTCTAATTCATCACATCAATTTCTCAGATTTCTTCAATTCACCGTTTTAAGCAGAAGCGGCCGCCTTGCAAACCGGCAAGTCCTTCTCGACGTTGGGCGGGATCCTCAGGATCGGGTTCCTCTCGAAGAAGTTGACCGGTTTCAGATCGAAGCTGGACGACACCGTCGGCATGATCGGAAAATCCTCTTGACAGGGAATGTGATGGAATCCCATCGTGTACCACACCACTATGTCCTTGTTCTCTATTTCCCTGTCCCTGCAAAAACCATAATTTGCCAAATTCAGAAGTTTAGGGGCTGATTTGGGAAACAAATCAAAATTCAGGTACGGAAATAAAAAAAAAACTCCCCCGTACCGGTCGGACCAGACTTGAAGATTCTCCTCCCCATGATTCTGGTAAGCGAACAGACCACCGGCCCATTCCTCCGACCGGTTGTACGGCGTGACCCATATCTGGTTATTGGTAAATGCGCCCCGCATCTGAGGCGGGTCGGAGTGATCCAGCAGGCTGGCCGCGGTTCCACCCGCGACCACCTTGTACCCGACCGGGTTTCCAACCCGGGTGGTTTTGCCCGGGTTAACCACGTGGAACTCGGACGGGTTGTAGAGCTGGAACTTGATCTGGGCCTCTTTCTCCGTCTTGGCCACTTCCCTCACGGCCTTCAGGAAGCTCCGCCTCGGCGAATTCACCTCCGGCGAGGTCTCCTCCTTCTTGATGTGGACGTTCACGAAGGAGTTGTCGGCCCCATCGACGTCCATGTCGAGATAGAACGTGACGTAGTGGTCGTGGATGACTCCGATCACGTTCTCCGACAGCATTGTGCCGTAGAGATTCTCGTCCTCGGGTACCTCGTTCTTGTTCACGTAGCTTGTTCCTTTCACCATCAGGATTCCGCTCAGACCCACCTGATTTGATCCGATTAGAGAGCATAATATTAAAGAGATCATATGTAGTTAAAGAAGAAATCAGGGTGTCAATATAATAGTAGAGATCTTATAATTTAGCAGTCAAATGACCGTTAACTAGTTAGTTTCTTAATTGGGTTATTATTAACTAATATGAATCTCAATTGAATTTGATTCGATTGATCATAATATGACTTTAATTGAAGGATCGGTCGAGCCGATAGACACAAAATCTTAATGCTCGAAAGTTTTCTGTGTACTAGCTTAAGAGACAGTGTATTGATGATAGTTTCTTAGTTTCTTTCACGACTAATACAAGAGTTGATACGAAATCAAATCAGAGAAAAGTTCACTCTAATACAAACCTACCACTACTATCAAATGAAGGTTAGTGACAAATGAGAAGTTACGAAAACTCAGAATCCGACCCCTTAAGTTTCATAACTGTCCTGATATCACTAGACATTTTGGTTAATGTAGGTTAATTATCAAACTAATGTACATATAGTTATCCTAAATATCAAGAACCCCAAGAAAGAAGATCACCTTAATTCGGATGAGCCCATCCGTTTGAAATTCCCAGTCGATGATGTAATCGTAATTCGCCACCGAAGCTGCCATTCTAGCCACAAGCGTCACTTTTGGTCTCGCCTCAATAATCTGTCCAAAACCAAAGCAACGACAAAAACTTAGTGGAGATCAACACCGATTTTTCCGCCCCATTTCTGACGTCATTATACACATTTCCCCATTTTCCCATCTCAATTCTCACCCCCATGC